TCATTGAACAATGATGGAACCAACCGATAGGGATGACTGGTCTTTCATCAAAGCTCATCTCCATGAGAAGAAGAGTCCGTCATTGAACAATGACGGAACCAACCGATAGGGATGATTGGTGTTTCATCAAAGCTCATCTCCATGAGAAGAAGAGTCCATCATTGAACAATGATAGAACCAACTGATATGGATGACTGGTCTTTCATCAAAGCTCATCTCCATGAGAAGAAGAGTCCGTCATTGAACAATGATAGAACCAACCAATAGGGATGACTGGTCTTTCATCAAAGTTCACCTCCATGAGAAGAAGAGTCCGTCATTGAACAATGATGGAACCAACCGATAGGGATGACTGGTCTTTCATCAAAGCTCACCTCCATGAGAAGAAGAGTCCGTCATTGAACAATGACGGAACCAACCGATAGGGATGACTGGTCTTTCATCAAAGCTCACCTCCATGTGCCTCTCAAGTTCCTGCAGAAGGGCAATGTACTTGTCCAGCCGTGTGAACGGTTTGCTGAGACTCGTGGTCAAGGTCAGTATCCTAGTATCCATCCCTTGGTTCTCCATGAACTTCTCCAATTCATCGCTGGAAGAGAAGCATCCATGATGATAGAGAAGCAGACCAGCCTACTGGGCACACCTGATCTTTCCCCAGGGTAGGGTTTGGTGCATCCTTATTTTTACCTGTGGTGGGTCAAGACGTTGACCGCAGATGGGTGGTTAGTGCAGTAAGTGAGGTACAGAGACGCAAATTGGGGCATCAGGCTTAGGAAGCAGCCTCCCACTCTTTGCTGGTGTTCGGGAAGTCTGCAAGAGACACACGCCGGTCAAAGATGGAAGAAATTGAAGCTGTTGGTTGGCATTTCCAATTGTTAGCTTTATCTGAGCCAAGAGGAGCAGAGACCGAGGGAAAATAACTTTCCTGCCAACGTTTATTTATAGAGATGTATAGTCCGTCCCAATCTGTATTTGACTTACGAGAGTTCCTTTACTGACTGTTTGAAGTTACCACGGCACTGAAAAAAAGGGACTTACAACCGTTGCTACATCTCCGTGGTCACATGATCAAAATTCAAACAGTTGACTACTGACTCATAGTTACGATGGTTGCAATGTCCCAGAAGCAGGGGTGGGATTGAATTTTTTTTACTACTGGTTCTTGTGGACGTGGCTTGGTGGGCCTGGCATGGCTTGGTGGGTGTGGCAGGGGAAGGTTATTGCAAAATCCCCATTCCCTCCCCACCCCACTAACCTGCTTTCCAGCT